TTTTTATTAAATTAACAAGCAATTTAATAAAAGTGTTATTATACTATTTTGGTTTAATATTTTGTTATGCTAATAAACATCTTCATAATATTAGTAATTAGATATTAATAAGAATTTTTTAACCTGCGAACAATTTATTACAGAGTCTTTCAATTTGTTGTTTTCTACTTACATTCCGTCTTCGCCGTCCATAGTGTTAGCATAATCGGTGTAGATATCAACCGATTCACTCAATTTCTACAATTCTCTTTTTAATATTCTGCTAGTGTGATCGTTGAAAGTCTTCCGATAAGATAATTATTTGCTTCTCTTCTTCGCTAAGTTCCTCATACTACAGAATTAATAAAACAAAATTTTTTATTAATAAATAGAAATAAAATGTAAAAGATCGATAATTTGCGCACCTTCTTTTTTAGGATTCTCTTTCTCTTGCTCTATCTGTGTAACAGTAGACTGAACCTCCTTAACTTGCGTTAATCCATGAGAAAATATTCCTGGTGGAAGTTTACTCTGGAAACCGTCCATGTTCGGCAAGCTATTTTTTTCATCTTCGGTTTGGCCATCATCAAATGTCAAAACTGTGGTGAATAAACTGGTTCCGCTACAAGTTGAATATAATTACCTAGCTATATACTATACTAATCTACATATTTATTCAAAATTGCTAATATTCTAATAAAACCTATTAAATCTTTTAAAAGTACTGCTTTTATATTTAAAAAAAAACTAATTATTTTTCGGCAAACATTAAAATACTTTAAAAAATTAATAATTAATATAATTAATAACTTTAAAGGATATTTTATAGAGCACAATAATTTATTTTTTTATCTTAAATTTATATTTATAAAAAAGTCAACACTGCATTCTGTTGAAATCCTAACATTTTTGTATTTGTTTTTATATTTCAAATGTCAGGAGGTAGATAGATAGATAGATAGAGAGAGGGAGAGGGAGAGGGAGGGAGGGGGGGAGAGAGAGAGAGAGAGAGATTACATACTAGCGTGTTTTTAGAAAAACAAAGATAAAAATTATTAAATATTTGTTTTTTCTCTTCATGATAGAGCGATATACGTTTTGTAATTTAAATTGCATAGATAACTATTGACTTGTAAATATTTAATAAAATCTTATTTCGAAGAGGAGCAACATTTAGAAGCATTAATAAATGCTATGTTAAATAATTGAGATGCCATAATAAAAAAAAAACGTAAAGTTTCATATCAGGAGACGCGGTATAGTGTGTGTCTGGCCATGTTAAAAAACTGAAAGAGAAGTTTCTTATCCGCAGCTGGGAACAACATTATAAGTGTGAGCCTAGTTAACGTACAAAATTAAATACATGTACGAAAGGTGGACTGTATCAATAAATAACGTTGATTTTACATTTTTCTATTTTATGATTTTTTATTTACGTCTCTCCACCCTTTGTTCGCATGCAGTATCAATAACGTAGAACGATGTGAATAAAAATGAATATTAAGGACGATATAAGTAAAATAAGAAATTATTAATTTTCCCTTTACCAATAATTAGTAATTGCTAATTACTACAATAAATTAATTCTTCTTTAAGGAACCTGAGTAATCGCTGCGACTACATTGGACTGTGACGTCATAAACAAAATAATAATACATTAAAATTTCTGGTATGCTTTTTGTAAATAAAGAAAATTTAGGTAAAACAAAATAATAAGATTATCTGTAAAAGTGGGTCAAAGCTCACTCCTCTTGTCAGCCAGTAAATAATCATAAAAAGCATGTAAAATGCGTTTACTAGCGTTTATTCATTGTGCATGCATATAGGCCTGTTCTTTTTGCCTTATTTCGATCAATCGTTTGTCTTTGTCTGTCTAATGGACCGATAACAAAGAGATTATATAATCTCTTTGACCGATAATCATGGACATAGGGAAGATTCGAACCAAAAAAATCATAGATATAGGGAAGATTCGAACCAGAAATCGTGGACATTACCGACATGATCGTGGACAATGGCTACATAGTTCAATGTCCACTCAGGCTTCTCTCTGATAGAAGTTTGACCCCCCTGCTTATTAGCTTATTACACTATTTCAGAACTAGTTCAGAATTCTTCGTATCTTAACCTCTAAAATCTTGAACTTTAACGATTAATATTTCGACTCACAAGGCCGTATTTTTTTTGCGAGATTTCTTTCATTTTGAGTGAAAACGCTTCGAATGAATGTATTTTTATTAAGATTTTAGGTGCGGGAGAAGGGGGTATTCTAAATAATTATCCTCTGTTGACTTTCAGCGTACAAACGCTCGAGAAATGAAATGATTGTTAATTTGAAGCAAAGGATACGGAGTTTTTTTGAATAATTGTATCAGAGTGATGTGTGGTGATGTTTCGTATTTTATCTTGCCAATTTGAGACACGATTGGATATGATATTAACGACGGCGCCGTAAAGTCGAGAAATCCTCACGATATGTTATCACGATACGAGTGACAGGCGGTAAGAGATAACCTAACTAAACCGGCGTGCCATATGTCAAAAGAAGCACAGCGATTTCGACGAATTTTAGAAACTAGAACGAGACATTACCTTCTATTCTTTATTTTGCTACGCAAGGTACGTAATACGTCTAAATATGTTTCCAATCCAGCCATCGACAGTTTAGACATCTACTTGCTTCGATTTCGCGATCGATGATTCATTTATGTCATGTTTTGCTCGGAGGATTTTGTTGATCCGTCTAGCTCGGTGAATTTTTCCATTAGTCTTCTCTTCGTATACTGTTACACGAAATCTTGACGTATATGTTTCAGTATATTTGCGAATAGATAATTAAATTTTGCTCAATGATGTCGGATAGGTCAGGAAATACAAAGTGTTCGATAAAATAATGTTTTATCAGTGACTGGAAAAATAAAAAAAAAAAATAATTATCGATTACATAAAAGGAAGTTAAATGTTTTTAATTGACCGCATTATTGATTTCGTGAAAGCAGTATACTCACACAGCATGCAATATTTCAGAAATATTTCTAAAATATTTTATAACATCTTTCTGACATAAATGTCAGGAAATCTGAGTTTTTGAAATTTTTATTTTTTTCATACAATATATTTATATAATATTTCTGAAATATTTTATTGAGATATTTATGCTTTATATTTCTGAAATATACTTTTGAAACTTTCACTGATATTTTCTTTAGAGGTACCAAAGGGTTTATGGTTATTGCATCTCTGAATTTCTGAAATTTTATTGAAATATTTCAAAAAATGATTTATATTAATATTTCATGCCATGTGGGTACACATATATTTGTTATTTTAATAGATATAGACACTTTTGTTTTAAATTATTTTGTATAATATGTATATTATTATATCAGCTTGTCCTATAATAAGAATGTCATTCCTTGATTTCTTTATTTCGGAATACTTCTAGCATGGTGAAAAATAAAGCACAAGAGAGAGTCCCAAAAACAAGAGCCAGGGCTAAAACAAATAAGAAAATGCGATTGTCAATCAATTGTGTAATCGTCATTGTGAGCATGGTTATTGCTGGTTGGTTTGGGTACAAAGGATATCTCGAAACAAGAGTTAATACTCCATATGATGGACAAAAGGTAGAATCTATTATCAAATAATTCTATATAGCACACTTTATCCGATAGACATTTTGGAAATGTTCTTAGAATGTTCTTAAAACATATTATATGCAACAACTTTTGAACATTTTTACAACGTTTCTGAAGGTGTTGGGGTGTTATTTACTGTTAAGAGGCCTGTTCTTTTTCCATATCTCAAAATTGAACTCTTTGCACAGTTCATTTTTCTTTTTTTTTTTTTCATATTAGAGAAAAAGACAAAATATGAACTCCACAGAGTTCAATCTTGAGGTGTGGAAAAAGAACAGATCTAATATCTTGTAAATATAAACGTAAATATAAAAAGGATTTATAATTTTATATATAATTAATTTGAATATTTTTTGAAAATTAGCTAGTTAAATATACATCTGGATTGAAAGTACCAGACAGATATTGGGGCACCTATCGACCTGGAGCATATTTTGGTTTAAAAACAAGAGACCCTTATTCCTTGGTGACTGGTTTAATGTGGTATTTTCCACGTTTTGTACGTTATGATGGAACTGGATTTAGACACTGGTGTGAGCAAAGTGATGAACTAAACAGGTACTATATAGTTAGAATCTTTTTCAGATGAATAAAGAGTTTAGCAATGTCACTAATCATAGTTTATAAATGTTAGATATGCATGGCTGGAGCATGACGGACGAACATTTGGGGTTCAGGAAATAGTAGATAATCACGTACTCATAAGAACAACATTCGTCAAAAAGCGTGGTGGATATCGCGGCGGTGATTGGACTGCAAGAATTGCGGTGTCATTAGAAAACCCACAGATTATGGACCATCTATTCCTCGAAGAGATATCATTGTTATTTTATACCGCTATCGAGGATGGCACAAAGGGTTGGATAAAAGCTAATCTTGGAGATTACGATCGCTTGACAGGAATAGAAGGAAATACGCAGGGATTGGGATCTTTTAGTATAAATGTGAATTTAATAAATGGTACTATAGAAGAGCATTCCTTTCTATCGACAGTCGCTCTCGGTCTAAATGTGTTGAAAGGAACAGTTTTGCAAAATCTCCGCATCGCGGCCCAGAAGGGATCTTTGAAGAAACATTTAGTTTTAGCTGGTGAACAGTTGCCTTTGCTTCCCGAAGGCAAGAGAGAGGATCCGAATTTCGTTGTGACTCAAGTGACGGGAAAAATTCCTTTTGAGATCGAAGTTAGTTATGAATCTGGCAGTTTCAGTAATAGGATGGATAAATTAACAGGAAACAATTATGATGAGGCTCTTAAAGAACATAGAGAACAGTTCTCAAAGAAATTTGAAAGTGTTTTCAATCTGAAGTCTAAGGGATACAAGGACGATGAAGTGGCGTTCGCGAAGATGGCGTTTTCGAATCTTATAGGTTCGATAGGTTACTTTTATGGAACTTCACAGGTGCAAAGTACCTATACTCAGGGACCTGTGCCTTATTGGAAAGCACCTTTGTATACTGCCGTACCAAGTAGAAGCTTTTTTCCACGAGGTTTTTTGTGGGACGAAGGTTTTCACGGTTTATTGATTTCTGTTTGGGACACAGAGATAGAATTGGATATTATAAGCCATTGGTTTGATTTAATGAATATCGAGGGCTGGATACCAAGAGAGATGATTCTTGGTGAAGAAGCTGTAGCTAAAGTTCCCAAGGAGTTTATAACTCAAATCAACACGAATGCAAATCCGCCTACATTTTTTTTGACGCTAGATTTTTTGCTCCAGCGTAGCGAGCAGGACTTATTGAAACATAATTTCCATTTGCTTGACAAACTGTATCCACGACTGCAGGCATGGTTCTCATGGTTCAATACCACGCAAATCGGCGAGCTACCTGGTACATACAGATGGCGAGGCAGAGATGAAAAGGCTACTAGAGAATTGAATCCCAAAACGCTGACATCTGGCTTGGATGATTACCCCAGAGCTTCTCATCCGAGTGTCGCTGAGCGTCACGTCGATTTGCGTTGCTGGATCGCATACGCTGCTCGCGTTATGGCTAACATTGCTGAAATGTTGAGTTATCCTGCCAAAAAGTATCAAGAAACATATCGGTATCTATCCGACAATAATTTGTTGAACGAGCTACATTGGTCGCCGAATGCGCAAGCATATTCCGACTACGGTTTGCACACTGACAAGGTGGTTCTACAAAAAATCGTGCCACCGCCATCCCGCAAACAGCAATCTAATGTGCAAATAACGCCAGAAATGACACGTGTTGTACTGGAAAAACCATTGTTGAAATTTGTCGATACAACTTTTGGATATGTATCATTGTTTCCTTTCATTCTTCAGATTGTCGAACCCGATTCGCCTCAGTTGGGGAAGATACTGCAGGATCTACGAGATCCTGATTTGCTATGGACAAAATACGGACTGCGTTCGCTCGCGAAAACGTCACCTTTATACATGAAATATAATACACAGCACGACGCGCCTTACTGGCGCGGTCCTATCTGGATAAACTTGAATTACTTGACAGTGCGAGCAGCATATTATTATTCTAATGTAAAGGGACCGTACCAGGAAAGCGCAAAAAAGATATACCAAGAGTTGCGAAAAAATTTGATACAAAATATTATTATACAATATAAAAAGACCGGATATTTGTGGGAACAGTATGATGATACAGAAGGAAAAGGTAAAGGAAGTCATCCTTTTACTGGTTGGACTTCTTTGGTAGTATTACTTATGGCAGAAATATATTAAATGTGATGTTAATGTATATAGTGTTGCGTCTTTGCGTTCCTAGTACTGGCTGGGCGTAACAATATATTGACTTTGATCATTCAAAATTACTTCATCGAAAATGAAATCAAAAGACAGTGTTCATTCAGAGTTATCACATGGGTTTATCGATATTGAATAACGCTTGCATTTAAGATAGAAAAATTATATTGTTTTGTTATATTGATATTACATTATGTGTGTATTATTTTAGTCTTTTATGTTATAATATATTATATGGGAGTTGTATTGTCTGAAAGAAAATTTGTAACAATGTCAAACTACTATGTATAGATACATGATACACTCGCACATACCATTTATATTAATTGGGAAGATATATATATATATATATATATATATATATATGTGTGTGTGATATACTTTGATATCTTGATGGCCTCTGATGTTTTTGATAGTTAAATTTAAATTCTAGATAATTGCATCTTATCTAATAAAAGCGCTAATTATAATGTTTTTATAAGTACTAAATAAGATAATCATAATCATTTTGTACTGTCATATGTACATATTTTTTGGCACAGTGATTTAGTGGAAAGTTCTATATTCTTACTGAAAATATATTTTAGATATATTTTAGATAAAATTTATTCTTACACTTGAGTAAATTTGAGTTTTATTTTGTTAGTATCATGAAGTCTGTATATTTAACATGTATGTTTTGTAAAATGATACAATGTATGTGTGTGTGTATGTGTAAGGGGGGGGGAGGGGAGGGGTATAATGATGTTATTATATATATTGTATAATTGTCGGGTTTGATTCTTGTGGTAGAAACCAAAATATCTATGCTCGTGTCTCTCGAGAAAGGCCGGCAACCTCCCGAGAGTATTCTTGCCCACAGATTCTTGAAACACCTCTCGAAAAATTCGCCGTTCGGAACCGGCATTAAAACTGTAGGTCCCATATGCTTGTGAAAATTGAATGAGCAATTAAAAATTAAAAGACTCTTGATAAAATATATTAAGAAGGAATAAAGGCTAATAAGAGTCACGCATCAGTATTAACACAAAAAAAATAAATATTTTCAAAATTAACACAAATTAATAAATATACAAAACGTTAGAACATTTTTAAATTTAAAAGCAGAAATTTGCAGGAGTTTTTTTAACAAAACCGTCATACTCGTCAAATTTCTGCGTTATAATTTTGTATATCTGAAGAGGGTCAAAATACAAGGCCGAAACATGTAATATTTTCACAGCGCCGATTTTTTCTTAATTTTCTTATTTTTATAAACAAATATAAATTAAATAAAGGACTCTTTCTTTAAAAACAAAATAAACATGAAAATGGCATTGTAAGAGTCAAAAGAAAAGAAAAATTAACAACAAATTAATACATATATTCTAAATTAATGAACTTATAAAATTAACCTAAATATAACATTAAATAATAGGTGTTAATTACATAACTAGTTTCGATCACCAAATCTGGTCCTATGGAAAAACATAATTTTGTATATTTCAACGTCAAGTGTTCCATCTGAAGAGGACCAGATTTGGTGGTCGAAACTAGTTATGTAATTAACACCTGTTATATAATGTTATATTTAGGTTAATTTTATAAGTTCATTAATTTAGAATATATGTATTGTTCTTAATTTTTCTTTTCTTTTGACTCTTACAATGCCATTTTCATGTTTATTTTATTTTTGTAACTTTTAAATTTAAAAATGTTCTAGCGTTTTGCATATTTATTAATATATATGTGTTAGTTTTAAAGATATTTATTTTTTTAATGATAATACTGATGCATGACTCTTATTAATCCTTCTTAATATATTTTAAATAAGCAACGTGCACACCACAAGCATATGAAAGAGATGTATTGATACAGGACTTGCCCTAAACTAAGAATAAGAAGTATAATTGTCAAGAGGGAAAAAGCTAGATTTAAAATCTTGTCTGTGATTTACTATGAAAACTAGTATATTCTTATCTATAATCTTAAGCTCTTATTGAGGAAGCGCTATGTTTTATCAGTGTAGCATAACTCGGAGCATAACACTTATTTTTGTGTAAAATGCTCTTACTAATCTCTAGCCATCATTTTTAAATAATTTTCGAAATAAGTTTAAGCTATATATGTGTACCTACCATAATAAAATGTTATTTACAAATTGGGACAAAGAATGAATGTCTTTTCTTTTACCTTTATAAACTTCAGCTTTTGATTTTTAGAAATTAATTTTACCATTTATGTAATAAAAGTAATTTATATCATGAAGTAATTAAATTCATATAATCCTGAATGTCGTTAAAAAAAAAAAATATAAATGATAAAAATCTTTTTTAATTTTGTAAAAAAAACTCTAAATAATAAAAAACCTTGTTTTAGAAACAATATTTTAATCATATGTATTGTTTTTTCTAAACTTTTGCTCTGGTCAAATTCAAAATCTGAATTTCTAGTCTAATCCTTAGAATATTGTTAGAAATATGTTTTCTATTTCTTTTAACTGAACTTGCATTCAGCAGAATATTGTTATTATTATTTTGCAAATGTTGGAAGCTTTTTCGCGCTGATTAGACTATACTTTTAGATCTAAAGCAATAGTTCCATTTCAGCGAAAAAGACTTCCAAGATTTGAAAAGTAATCATTTTGCTAAACAGCCATTCTTCCTTTCTCACTGAAAAATGCCGAAAAAACAAGATCTGTTTTTTATTTCTGCACTGTTTGATTATTTCTATACTGTCTGAACTAGTATACGCGGTACAATAAGTTGAAATGAAACAAACATATATTTATTTCACTTCACTTATCGCCACCATGTGCAGTGTGCACTAGTGCAGACAGTGCAGGAATAAAATACAGATTACAGACACAACGGTTGATAGTTGGTATTCCTGCTCGTGATGCATTTCGAGAAACGATTCTCGTATCGTATCGCAGAATCGCTGTCATCACTGATGACTCCCTTCAGAGTTCAGACTGTTCAGACGCCTCGTTCGAAGGATAGGTGTGTGCCTGTTGGGGTTACGATCGTGGGTTGTAGGTTTTCGATCGAAATAAAATCGCGTGGACATTCCAATTGCGTATTATGGAGCCGTATGATGTAATCATCAATCAGCCGGTGGTTATCGATAACGTAAGTACTTGCTATCGAACTCCTCTACCATTTAGAAAGCGAGTGATGTATCAAACTGCAATGTCGGTTGTCAACGTTTTACTAGGACGTATAATAAAGAACATGAATGCTTTCCTTCGCATTTGCATTGCTGTTTTACGTCTTCATTTTTATTTATATCTTGATTCTTGTTCGTATACGAAAACGTCATCAAAGATTATATTGTCGGCAGTCCGATCGATAATAATAATGATTATGATGTTGCTGTGACGACTTTTTCTGGTTTAGGATCCATAGCCTTATCATTACATCTGATTTTTTTTCTGTTTAGGGATCTGGCGTGATTAAGGCGGGATTTGCAGGTGACCAGATACCTAAATGCAGATTTCCAAATTAGTAAGTAGCAGGAAAAACTATTGATATTTCGTAGCAGTGTCTTCTGTTTTTGGAAATTATTGATAGGTGATAATATGTTGATAGATCTGTGTCCAATTTGAGCTTTAGAGCTAAAACGCATAGCCATCAATGCAAAAATTCAGTGTGAATAAGATTTCATGAACTGTAAAGTAATGATAAGTGTCGTTCAGACACACACATATATCAAAACTTTACAATCTCCGAAATCTTACCTCCCATATTGATTTTTTTACGTTGATGACTATGCATTTTGGCTCCAGAGCTCACATTAGACAGGTCTCTCTTAAATGATTTAGTTGAGTTTTTCTATTTTATTATTGTTTAATGAAGCAAATTTTATTTTTTTTTTTTTTCAAATAAATACAATATTATACTATCTAAAAATTATAATTAAAATGTTAAAAAAAAGATAAATTTGTACTAAAAACATTGTATATGATATGAAAGATTTTTAAAAATAAATCACAACTTTTAGTTTATACATTAGTGTGCAATATTGATATTATTGATTGATAAAAAAGAACATGATTCTTTGGTAGCATTGGTAGGCCAAAACATGTACGTGTTATGGCTGGTGCTTTGGAAGGAGATCTGTTCGTGGGTCCAATAGCAGAGGAACATCGTGGCCTTCTATCTCTTCGATATCCAATGGAACATGGTGTAGTCACAGATTGGAACGATATGGAGCGTATCTGGTCTTATGTTTATAGTAAAGACCAGTTAGCTACATTTAGTGAGGAGCATCCAGTCTTGCTTACAGAAGCACCTTTAAACCCCAGAAAGAATCGTGAAAAGGCAGCCGAGATATTTTTCGAAACATTTAATGTTCCAGCTTTATTTGTTTCCATGCAAGCTGTACTTAGCTTGTGAGTAATTTTTGTAATAATCAGTGTCATAATAATTTGCAACTTTCAATTTTAAAATTAAAATTTTGATATATTGTTTCAAAAGATTGTACGACAATTATTTTTGTTTTTATTAATACAGATATGCGACAGGCAGAACCACAGGAGTAGTTCTAGATGCTGGTGATGGTGTTACACATGCTGTACCTATTTATGAAGGTTTTGCTATGCCTCACAGTATAATGCGAGTTGATATAGCAGGACGTGATGTTACAAGGCATCTTAGGTTACTTTTACGCAAGGAAGGTATTAATTTTAAAACTACTGCAGAGTTTGAAATTGTCAGAATAATTAAAGAGCGAGCGTGTTACCTCGCCAGTAATCCCCAAAAAGAAGAAACAATAGAGACTGAAAAATTTCAGTATGTTTTACCTGATGGCAGTCACTTGGAGGTAATAAAATAACTTGAATTAGTAATAATTAATAGAAAAATATTATGTCCATTTTCATAAATGTAGAATATTAATTTGAATCTGGATTCAGTTCACTCAATGTTTTTCTAATTCTTAGAATGATAGTTGAGCTTAGATTAAAATTAAAGTACATTAATGGAAACAAGCATTAATGTACTTTAATTTTAATCTAAGCTCAACTATCATTCTAAGAATTAGAAAAACATTGAGTGAACTGAATCCAGATTCAAATTAATATTCTACATTTGTAGCATTAGTCATACATAAGCATTAGTCATACATAACTTGAAATAGCAAAAAAGTTTAAATTGCTTTTACATACATCTCTCATTCAATACAGATTGGTCCGGCACGATTTAGAGCTCCTGAAGTGCTGTTTAGACCAGATCTAATAGGTGAAGAATGCGAAGGCCTTCATGAAGTATTAACATATTCTATTCAAAAGTCCGACTTGGATTTGAGAAAAGTTCTATTCCAAAATATCGTATTATCAGGAGGATCGACACTATTCCGAGTAAGCACAAGCATTTGTATAAAACAAAGAAAGAATCTAAAAAAATATATTTTTTATGTTCTTATCTTTATATTTATAAAAAATTATTGCAATAATGTAATAGTAATATAACAGATTCTTATATTTATTATTAGGGTTTTGGTGATAGATTATTATCAGAGATTCGTAGAATGTCACCGAAAGACATTAAAATAAGGGTAAGTGTGAAAATAAAATTAATAAATAAAATAATGAATGAACAATTTTTTTTAATTATGCTTGTGGCAATTGAATAATTAATGTGTGCACTATAAGTATTTGAGAGAGGTGTAACACAGGCCAAAGTTCTAACATAAGACGAAGAAGAAGGATTTTCAAAGATAAAATTATGGATTTATTTCTGTTATGACAGATATCAGCGCCTCAGGAACGATTGTATAGTACTTGGATCGGAGGTTCGATTTTGGCTTCTTTAGACACCTTCAAGAAGATGTGGGTGAGCAAACGAGAGTTTGATGAAGATGGTATACGGGCTATTCATCGTAAAACATTTTGAACTTAATTTAAAGAAGCTTTTGAGAACGTTATATATCGAATAATTTTATTATAATACAAAATGGCACACTCGGCACGATAACAAAATGTATCGCAGTATAATTCGTAATTGTTTTGAATAGTAATTCATAATTTCTATCATTATTTCAGGGAGACATTATTTAGATATTTCTAATCGTATTTTTTAGGATCACGATATAGTGCAAAAACCGATTCAATTTGTTTTTGCTTTAACGTAACTTCATTTAGATATATATATATATATATATATCTAAACAACCATATATATATATATGGTTGTGTTAACATATAATTATAGATATATACATGAATTTTGCAAAGACTGTACGATATGGTAAAAGTAAAAGAAAGTTAGTACATCTCAAGATTCTTTTAAAAAAATAATGTAAATAATGTCTTTTGGAATCAAATTAAGGTCAAACGTAAAGTTTTCAATTGTTTTTAGATTTTATTTATTTATAATTTATACATATATTATTTATATGTTGTATGCTCAGTGTATTAAGACAGAATACATGATTTTCATTTATTAAAAGAAAAAGTGTTCTATTTCGTTTTCAATATAGTGAAATAAAGCATCTTGTAATTTCTATGTGCAGTAACATTTATGCAAAGCATTTGTAAATATGTACGCTTTCGTAAAAATAAATCTCTATAGTCTTTACACACACATACACAAATACATGTGATTACAATTATATTGTAAACGTCGAGATTTGTAGCTTAAGCAATTGATTCCAACATACTTTGTAACACATAAACTATTAATTTTTAAATGTATAATAAATGCTGAAGAAGAACACAATCGTTCCTTTACATGGTGTTTTAGCTATGATAAGAATAGGAATTCAGTTATCAGAAAATTTATTAACGTTCTTATTATTGCAAAAAAGCTGATAATATCCTAATGAAATTCCATAGTTCACGTAATATGTACTACATATTTATATATTTGATATATATAGTTATATATATACTATATAACTGTATATTATATTAATACTAGCACTGTATATTGGAATATGGTCATAATCTGGCATTAAAAAAGTTGAAATAATTTTTCTATTCTTCAAGGTTTACTTTAAAGTAATACAAAAATTTATAGAGAAATCGGTGCAGAGTTACAGGACTTGACGCATTTGAAAAATAAGACTGCAAGCTTTAAAAAGCTTTTCTTCAACATCACTCTGCATCCATTTTTCGTGCACATACGTAATTTTTCATTCGATTTTTTTCAGTGCTGAGTTTAACTGATCACTTAATATTTTTGAGCGATGGTGTATGTTAATGCCGATGTTAATCAATATACTCATGCCATAGTAAAATAAATATTACGTAAATGGACATGCATAAATAAAATTATATATGTATATTATCTTATTAACGTTAAGTAAAACGCAATTTAAATCGCTAAACTCTTAAGAGTTTCGTGAACTGCTCAAATCGTTTCAGCGACAAAAAGGATCACATGGTCAAAATTGACGAATATCAAACATCAATTTGGATCATTTGATCCTTTTTGTCGCTGAAACGGCTAGTTTAAGCAGCTCGTGAAATTAAAATTTCTAATCCTCGGTGAAAACTTAAGTCATTTTTGGATCCATGTGCCTCGAACCAATCAAAGCACGATTCGGATCACGTGGTGAGTTGGCGACTCTCTGATTACACGTTCTTTTAAGTAAACTGAGAATAGAGTCCGGTCTCACCATTCCGATTAACTTAATCGATTGATTGTCACATTGGAACTGACCAATCGCATTTGTCATTTCGTTTGATGACAGATGCGATTGGTCAATTCCAATGGACTAAACAGCTGATTAAATTTAATTGGAGTAAAGTTACCCTTAAGCCGGAAAACACAATGAAAAGCACAGGCAATAGAAACAGGGAATAAGAGATTTTAAGCTATCAAAAATCATGTATGCTAGAATGGACGCTTCCTGATAGGTTGAAATTTCTTATTTCTGTTATCTGTACTTTTCATTGTTTTCAGCTTGACAGTTTTACTAGAGAAAAATCGTTACGAGAGAAAGAGAGAAGTTTATATAAATATACAACCCTTCTCTTTCTCTCCTTCGACGACGCGACGCGTGACGCGCTCAGTGGAAACGTACCATTAGACTGCATACCCATGCAGGTGGAAATAAATCGTTAAAATCGTTAAAATCTTTACAAATGTTGAAATGGTCTGGTTTGGATTGGCTTTTTCCTGCTCAGGTTTCTCTCTGGCCGAACGTATGTATACCTATCTTTACTTTTCACTATTCCGTTCTAGAGAAAAAAAATTACATTATTCTGATTCGGGCTTTATTTCTTTTTGTTCTGTTGGTAGTAGTAGTATAGTGGCGGTGGTACTGCTACTACTGGTTTTGGTTTATTCCTCCGCAGCGGAACGGAAGCGGAGAGCCGTCTATTTCGTGTATGTAATCTGTAGTATATTCTGGACCTCTCTCGGGCTCTCTCGGTATCGAATGATCGTGTGACGTACTTTATGTCCGCGAGTGTGCCTTTGACGTGAGGTGTGTCATAAATATCGTAATGTTCGCAACTTGATTTGCAGACGGAGGCCTACGTAAGGCGACGTGGAGAGGTGAGAGCGAGTGTGAAAGAGAGAGGTGGTTTGTTGGATAAAATACGAGACGAGGCGTGATTAACGTCATCATCATCATATAGTCGTCATCGAAACTTCAGCTGCTCGCGCTTCTCAAGAGCGAAGGCTAGTTTTGCGGGAGTTGTGTGTGCGTAATATCGCATACATTCGTGCGTGCGTATCGCGAGTGGGTGGGCGAGGCGTGTTCTCTCGCTCTGGTTCCTCGTATACGAGATATAAGCTTCGCGACGGGCACTCGCTCCGCTCGCTCGCTCGCGCGCGGGTGCTCTCTGTCCTTCTCCCTCTTCCCCTCTCGCTTTCTCTCTCTCTCTCTCTCTCTTTCTCTCGTGTGTCTGTGTGGTGTGCGCCGCGCGTGGTGTGCGGGAGTGCGTGCGTGAGGTTGCACTCCGAAAGCAGCAGCGGTGCGTCGATCGTGCAGATTGGCAGCGATGAGCGACGACAGGAGCGAGGATGAACCGATCATGGACTTTAATTGGTACAGCAACTGGGAGCAGCAGTGCGTCGAGGCGCTCGAGTCCGAGCCCGATTACGAGAATCAGCTGCACAACGAGAAGGAGCTCTACTCGCAGCAGATGTGGACAAAGTTCCAGACTACCGCGTCGGCCATCGCCCAGTTATACAAAGGTGGTCCCCTTAAACGATGTTCTCCGAGTTTACCCCTCGCGTGACTCCCGTCCCTATGTCTTTCCTCTCTTTTTTTTTTTCCTTGCCCTCGTTCGCTACAGTGACCCCCCCCAAGGTCGCTTCCTCCCTCCCCCTAACGCGAATTCCATCCGTCTCGCGTAACATCCATTTTGTCGCGCCGTTACGAGAACGATATTATACTCTCCGTTCACGAGCAGCAACATTATGAAATGTATTTTGGCGCTCGTCATTGAGTCTCGTTCTCGTTAACGTGTGCCCATTTCTGCAATTATCGATCGGATCTGTTTAACCTCCTCTGGTTTATTATTCTCTTATTCTCTTGCAGACCGCACATTGGGTGTCTCGCTATGGGTGCCGTTTCAGACGGCCGCTGGTACCGTCACATCATTGTACAAAGGTGCGTGGTTTTATGGGACATGGTAGTGTGTGTGATAAAGTTGGTGATGCGTTGTCAACAATGACCACTATAGATAAACGACCATCTTTCCTCGCTTTTTTCCCTTCCTCTTCGTACCGCCATCTCTCTCTTTCTCTCTCTCTCTCTCCATTCCTCATCCTGCAGCGCTCCGGAGCGTCATTTTCCTCTCCGTGCTCAATCTTTGTTCCTACTGTCTTTACTTGCGCTTCTGTTTATCCCTCAATTGTACTAGCAAATGAATGAAATGTGCGACCGTCATTACATCATGGCCCTTTTAACTGACAGCTCAGGGTCAGCTGTTTATTCTGTTAAATACGACATTAACGTAGCACGGAGAAATTTTACGAATTGACGTCCCGCCTCATGCGGTCTTTCTCTCTTTTCCCTCCCCTCTCCTTTTTCCTTCCCTTCCCCAATTTTTTTATTTAATATAATTTTGCTTTTTTTTAAATTTTGTTTTTAATTATGATTCCTTATACATGTATATATTTTTTTAAAATTTCTTTTTCTTGCTATTTATTTAAACTTCATTTTGTATTGTATTTCGTTTTTCTTTTTCTGTTTTTATTTTGCTTATATATATATTGTTATTTTATTTTCTCTTCGTTGTTATAACGCCATATTTGTGCATACAAGTTCTTTGAAAATCCACTCTAAATTTGTAGTAAATGCTCTATCTACCTATCTATCTATCTATCTATCTATATATCTATCTGTATCTTTTCTTTGTCTCTTCTACTTTAGTACTAATTTTGTGACACAATACATAGACTAACGCGCGCGCATAAATCGTTGAAAATAGACTTTGAGAAAAATTTAACTTTTATTTCTTTAATGATTTAACTATAAACTATTAAGTTCACGGGTATGTGAATTAATGGAAAAGCTATGAGAAAGATTCCTTGTAATAGCTCTCGAATGAATTAAAAAAAACTATGGTTTACTCGAATAAATTAAAAATTATACTTGTGATTTATTTTCTTCATATTTATTTCGTATATTAGATAATTATTAAATTTCTTGATGTTGATTTTTTATGTTACGTCTAAATAACTGAATAAAATTTTGTGAATAATTTCTAATTTATAATACGTAGGCGAGTATTTAATTCGGTAGAATTGCTCCAGTGCCACGGTTGAAACAATATAGTTTTTTAAATTTAGGTTCTCAATCAATAACCCTATAAGACACAATATATATATATATATATTCTTAGAATGTTATATGAATATTAAAAAGGATAAATAATATTCATCTAACATTTTAGAAATATTTAGGAAAATAACACAGCGTGCTTCACATATTCTTGTAAAAATGAGAGAAATTATTATCGCAATTTTTTAATATTGAAATATAACGATTAGAGCAAAATCGTCTTTTTGTGTGAAAAAGAACTATTTACTAAAATGTATTTATATGAAAAAATAATAACATTCTAAAAAGTTCTTAATTAATAAATATCTGGTTATTCGTAGTGTTCTTGAAAAAAGAACCTTTGATAACATGTATCAGTCAGAAATTTTAATTGAAAACAGATGGAAGAGAGAAATTAAGCCAATTTTGTAACCAGAACATTGGAATTATTGCTATCTAAATATTGATGACTAATGGCTACTTTGATAACGTTCTTAAAGATGTACAATTATTCATGTTATCAATGACGGTAGAGATAACAACCGTAAAAAACTCGGTGTTGCGACAACAGAAAGGCATGCTCTTTCTTCATCAGCATAATAGCTTTATAATTTTCCATTTTTTTGCGTTATTTCTATCACTTTTAATTTTTCTTTAAAAAAGAGATTTTCTCTATAAAAATTAAAAAAAATTCTTTTAAAAAATATTTCTTCTAAAAATTTTTCATTTTTTATTTATATATATTATATATCAGGTCTTTCATAAAAAATTTATAGATTGTTATTGATCATACTTTTTAAAACGGTAAATATTCGCGATCCATCTAGTGGTAGTAAACTTGATAAAGCGGATAATAAGTTAAGTAATTATTTATTTGTATTATTTTGTTCATATCAGAGTGTACTGTTTCTACCTTTTAACTTTTTACTGAATATGAATTAATTTTCAAGATCGACGATTGTTTGGCGCGCAGTTTGGAGAGACTACGTATATTAGTTAATTAATTATTAATTTGTCTTAATTCGTGATAGTACCGCAGTAGTTTATATATAAATAATTAAAGATCCAAGCTAGACTGTTATAGGCTTCATATTTGTATTAGTTATGTTCTTACATTAACGGTCTTTGGTATTGAATATTATGAATTAATCTGTTTCTTGTAATCAGAGATCTGTGTGAGGAATGCACTTAATTGTTATTTTTACACGCGCTTATAGGAGTTTAATAATTGCAAAGTAACTCTCGCTCTCTCTTATTTTGAAATTTAATTTTAATTCCTATCATTTTATTGAAAATCCAATATGTATTGTATAGAAAAGACGCACACGTACGCAAATTTGTATGATTATGCGAAGTAACGAAGTGTAATTTAACATTCTTAATTTTCACAATCTACTAATAATCATAAAATTTAAATACAAAATTTAACATAATAAAATAATTTGGATATTACTTCTATGGATTGTATTATGTTAAATTTTGCAATTTAGCATTGCTATTATATAACATTTATTTGCATTTATTTGTAAAATTAATCAAGAATTATTTAAATAGATTCAGTGGACTGTATGAGGCGATGCAGCGATTTGGGAGTGGAAATGGGCAAGCAGAAACGTTGTAAAGAAATAATGAATTGGGCTAGGAAAAAAAGACGTATGATTCGCAGAGAAGATCTTCTTGCATATCTCGCTGGAAAACCACCTCCACCTCGTTCGCATCCACACAGGTTTACCTCTTTACTGTAGTTCCCGAAAAAAAAAGATTGATTTTTGTTGTGTATTTTAATTTTAATATATATATATTTATAAACGTAGGTAATATGTTTTGTTAAATTAAAAGATATAAACAGGTAAATTAATAAATAAATTGGGCGAAATAAAATAAGTTGATTGCTTATTAAAGGTTGCATTATGTTGGTAATGTTGCAGAAGTTCACCTAAACCACGTATGATGGTGTGCGGTTCTCCGTCGTCACAAAGTCAAACGCCGAGTATGGTGATTGCTCCCGCACCGACAACAGGCACTGATCCAGATCCTGAGTTGCACACATTTAGAGAAGCATTGTCGGGTAAGTTATCCTCTAATTTAATTTTTTATGAACTTTTTAAGTCTTTTTTTTTAGAGTTAATCAAAGTGTTTAATATCATATTTAATTGAATTTTACTAAGAAATCGAATCACGCGAAGATTCATACGAGATATATTAAAAACTTTTTTAATTTTTATTTTTTCACAATATTTTTATTATTTTAATCTCTCCCTCCAGTTTCCACGTATCATTCTTCATACTACATCTACATGTCAAAAGCACGCGTTTGAAAGTGCACATTTGATCGAGGTAATCACATGGTGGAAGGAACTCCACTTAAGGCCACAGTACATAGAAAAGCTTAAGACGTAAGACTTAAGCAGTAAGCAAATTGATCAATTACAGTAGAAAGAGATCGTAAGATCATCACGTAAGCAGTAGTGTTTGTTGCTTTCCTTACTGCTTAAGTCTTAAATTTTTTTATGTGCCAAGGCCTTTATGGTTGCCCGTGGTAGAGTTTCTTCCACTATGAGTAACCATAGAGACGCCTATTTGACCCGCACAATAACGTACAACAATGCATACATGGAAACTAAAGATTTAATATGTCCATATGATTTAATATGTTGATATAATATGTCCATAAAAACTAAGAAAGAAACGTTAAATTTTCCAGGTTCTCCAGTGTCTCGACGTGGCGGAAGACAAGCCGAATTGTCAGCCTTTATTAGCAACGAATTGGCTCGGCATCATAAACGGCCTGCTTCGCATGACGTGGATATGGGATCACCCACGCACAAACGTATGCGTACTACACTGTAACGGCGCGCGACGCGTACAGTAGCTTTACTCCCTTGTTCCCCTGTTAATTAATCGACCCGATTAATGACTAATAGCTCAGCTCCCCTACATAACTTCTGGTTATGTGTAACTATTTGAGGGAAACGGTAGTGGTTCATACTGCCAGATAAGCACGTTCGTATGTGTCTCCGGTAGCTTTTACTGTCGATTTCGATTTATATATAACATTCAAAAATATTTTACTCATAATAACTATGTAGAATGCATATACCTGAGAAATAAAATGTAAAATGATGTACTTTTAGTCTATCACGCACATAATATATTTATGGAATAATTATTTTGTGTATATTGGTAAATTGATTGATTGTATTTACGCTATAAAAGTTTTTTCCTCGTATACGATTTCATGAAAATTTGAACTTCGTGAAATCTTGTACAATATAGATGTATATATGTATATGAAATTGAGTATTTTTTGTTTATCGACACAAAATTAGTGAGAGCACACGAACGTGTCTTAATAACTACTGTTTAAAGTGCCCGCATACACACCCACACACATACACACGCATGTGCGCGCGCACACACATCCACATATACAATGATCGGTCTGACATTACGTGCAAGAATTTGTATATGAGACTGTCATTTTGTCGATCTGTAAATTTACGAAGAATTTTTTTAGTCAGATATATGACATCCGAAACGTTAAGTCTTTAAATGTCAATACGTATATCGATATATGTATCAAAATTTGTAACGACTGAGAAACATTCTAGTATCTATCAATTAATATTGTTGATAATTTAATATTTTCCTCACACATGTGAAAAGTCGAGTTTCTCGAAAATAAAACAAAGAATGTTTTTTTGTCTTGTCTGAAAATTGATAGATAATTTATGTCAGAATAGGGCAGAAGAAGATACGAGTGCAAAATATTTGTTTTTACATTAAACTAAAATTCATCAAGTTGTTTGTTAGAAATATTGTTTTTGTGTTGTAATTGCAATGGAATTAATTCTTTGGACGTTTATCAATCAATGAAATGGTTGTTTCATATCACTTTATTGATGATAGCCAAATACGAAGAAAATAAGAAACTGATAGAGAATAATAATAAAATAATAATAATAATAATATGATAATAATAAATTTCAAATATTTTTTACTCTTAAGTTTTATTTTGTCAATTATCAAAATTAATTCATTATATTCTTGTTGAAATGTCTCCGAATGTATAATAAATTTGAATCTATTATCTTTCTTGTATGATATATTATATATAATTTTTTCGTTTATATAATTCATTGTTTATACATTTTTTTCTATCCTGCATCTGTTGCATTTTATCGTGTACGTCATCGTAAGATAGGTTTGATTATTGCCCAAATTGTTCAGCTTCTATTTTACGTAGTCAAATTTTTACATTATTAAAATAATTATATAATTCAAATTATAAGAAATTAAAGTCTCATGAAGAGAAAATAGAATATTAAGATATTTTGTTTTCCAGCTGCATGAAAAAAGTGCTATCTGAATATTACGAAGGCATCAAAAATAATTTTTAAAGAGATCTCATTATGAGTTTTTGCCGTGGTAAACCAAACTTTAGTATAAGAATTTATATTGTGCGAGAAGCAGACGAAGGGCAAGCGTGTCTGTTTTAAGAATTCAATATGTTGAAGAAAAAATAGGCGAAGCGTAAATTTAGCTTATCTTTTGTTGATGCGTAGGTTATTAAGAGAAGGGAATGAATCATCAGGAAGATATCAAGCTTTACATCCTGAACAAGGTCTGCGTTAACATTCTACTAAGGAATAATGAATTTAATATTCCATAACTCCACAGAAGCATAATGTGTTCGCTATATAGAACTTACGTAAACGTAGACTTTGTCAGGTGTGATAATGATTGCAATATATGTATATATGTGTACACATATATATATATATATGTTATGTACTTATATATATATATATATATATACATACACATATGATGAAATATTTTGTAAAAAAAAAGCGCTTAACGATTGCGTTTAACAATTCGTGCCAGAGAGTGAGACCCTTCCCAGTGAAGGTAATGATTATAAATGTACATTATTTCTAACTACGCCTCAAATTACTTCTATCTGAATTTTTAAAGATGTTGCACACAAATTCGTGGATTTGTTATTTATCTCATCGAATCCGTTGCGATTAGTACACCTGATGAATACAATTTGTAATTCAGTTATAAATTGTAATCTGTAATTTTTAGATGTGAAACACACGCAATTATAATAATGATAGTTCTGTTAAGTATGAAGAATTGGTAACAGGAACGTATAAATCTTGATGTAACTTAAAAAAAGAACTTATAGGGCGGTATTCATAATTTTAATCGTCTTAAGCTGCTGATTCGTATTTAAAATCATTATTCACTCATTCATTCAAAAATATTAAGTATATTCATCAGACACACTAATTGCGATTCGATTTATACATACGAGATCGTCAATATCTACGTATTTGTTTGTGAACCATATTTCGAAAATTATGTCAGAAGTCAGCGTACATTTCTATTCGTTTTTTCGCAAGATTGTTCAAGCGTCATTCGTGAGAGGAATAAAAAAAATTGTTGTTCAGTTGTAAATATAGCGTATACTCTAATAACGGTAAACAATAAACATTATAGGTATATCGCTGACATTATTATTATTATTATTAATATTAACTACTATGCGATAGCTTTAACAATATTTATCAATAATACAGTGCGATTGGCAATTAATAGAATTGAGGACTCTGCTTTCGATTTACGTATTGCCCTTGAACGAGATCGATGCGATGCAGAGTCCGAAAACCTCACGCCTCAGTGAGAACACGCAACAACCGTGGAGAATTTATTTTTCGCGAGCGAATCACTTACATGTCTACTATACATGCGAATTAAACGATCACGGAAGAAAGGTGTTGCTTTTACGATGAATGTACAAAACAAATCGATATTGAATACTTTGTACGTTCGTATCGTTTTTAACACGTTTCTTCTCTCGCCCGTTCCAGGTTATCGGAAGTATCCGTGTAAATGTCGTTCTTTTCGTATAACTATAATATAGAAGAAAGTAATACATAGATATTATCGTATGCGAAGATGCCATACTTAGGTACACTTTATCCGTAAGCGAGCGCACCAAACCCGACGACGGGGCAACTTTACGAAACACCGATTTTTTTTTTTTTTTTCGTTTCCGTTCCATGTGTTCGTGATACGTCTTCTGACTGCATAATCGAAACGTCCATCCTTGTTCGTGACGTCTATATATACAATATCCATTTGAAAGAAATATCATTGAATTACTCTCGAGAGAGTCATACATTACTCACTGGAAAATGCTGTGGAGAGCTATAATACTCTCTCGCTCGCATCTTCTCATTCTCTTTACTTCCGAGAGTCGCTCTCAAGTAGACAGATCAGTGGTAATTCTGTGCTCCCCTTTTTTCATTAGCGAATAAGTAACTTGAGTACGCGTTTTCGCGTTTTATAATTGGCATTTTTCTGTCTTGCGTAATAGCCACCCATATGTACGAGACGACACTTGGAGGTTGGCGAAAAAATTTTCCCACACGCGAGAAAGCTTTCCCTTTCTCATGGATGAATTATCTCGTCGGAAATCTGTTAGCCGTTATAAGATTATATGTAGATATCATGCACATCGAGCAAATATAAAATTCAAATAATTTTGTTGATAAAGATATAATTAAGTTTGGACATGTTACGTAATTTTTAATTTATATTACGTATTATAATACATTTAATTCAAAATTAGCTTAATAATTCGACAAATGAAGATTGTAAAAAGATTTAAGATTCTTTTTAATTGTATATAAAAAATATTTGTCAAAATGCGATATGAAATATCATTTTATGTTTATGAGATATCAACGATATGTTTATAAAATATATAAAAATATATGAATGTATAATAATGCGAGACAATTAAGGCGCCTGACATCTCAACAAAAAAAAAAAAATACAGACCGTTGATTTAAGAATATACCAAAATCAATACAATACAAGGACCGGTGTAATATTGTATTCATAGGCTAAAAAGCGGTGGTGAGTGAAGAGAGTCAGGAGGGATCATTTGTATTTTATATCGTTCACAGTTATACTAATACGTTCATGATATGCAGGAACGTATAAACGCGTACGTCTAACGGACGCAAGGCACCAAAAAAATTTTTTACGAGCATATCCTTTTCTTTCCTTTTCTTGTTATTCCGATGCACATTGCTGCAAGTTGCATTGGTGCACTATCGCGAGAACGAGTGTACCGTGACATGAGACTTGCACGAACATGACGCCTTGGTCGGGCACGACGCGTTCATGGCAAGGCGTGAAATGGTGCTGTTACTTTCTTGCGAACATAAGAAGCTTGTATATTTTTGCGCCTCTTGTTTGTAAGATAATCATTTACAAATAAATCACAAGAAAACGAAATCTGCTGTGGCGTCCTACCTACTTCACACTTCTCTTACAACTCTGAATAGAAACTAACATGTGTTGTGTGTATATATATATCTGTATACATACTTTATTGTTACAATTATTTTGTACATTTTACACTATTTGTGGATACAATATGTACTATACATGACGTTACATAAAATACTGCAATCCATAACTATCCGTAATATAATCCGAAATTAGTACCAAGGTCTTAAACTATGTAGATAAGAATTTAATATATCACATGCAATTAACGATCACTCATTAAAAATAGCATTAAATCTTAAAAGATAAACAATGTCAATGTTTTATTATTATTATTATCGTTTGCAGTAAAGTTTAGTTTAATAACTATACCTTGGACATATGTAAATGATGGAAAGCACAAGCTTTGGTATTATGTGTTTACAGTTTATTTTAGTAATACTTTATGTTCTAAATTTGATATTAAATTTTTTTGTGAAAAAAATTGTTTAATTCAATTAAATATAAAAAAATTGGAATAAATATATGTTTCTATTACATATCTAACAATTTTGAAATTTCATGTAGTAATTTTAGTACAGTATGATACACATATCTAATTATTGTAGAATAACGGGTCAGGCTGAGTAGAACATTATTAACGACAATATATTTTATGGCAGTGTAATATAATGTTATTATTGATCTTTTGTTTCTTTGATTATGGCATGAACTGTTCGTTCTATCTAACATATCTATTTCATTTAC